TATATATATATATATTAAATACGCAAATATTAAAGAAAATAATTTTTCTTAATATTTTAATTTATAATTTAATTTATTGCGTACCAAAGCTGCTGCTATGAAGCTTATCAGAGAATGCAATATATGTTAGAAAAGACGATATATGAATACAGTTAACAATAAAACAATATTTGTGCACTTACACAGTACCATTATGCTCATACGGAAAACGCATAAAATTAAACAAAAGATATAAAAAATATATGTAAGGGTGACATCTCATGTATGATATTTCATACTTGGAATTATCGGCGAATAAAAAAATTCATGATTCTTATTAATTATCATATCAACTTGATTAACGACGAGAATTGAGGATATTTTCAATTAATCCTAAGTATTAATCGTGTAATTAATCATAAGATAAACTGTAAATAAAGATCGGATGTTCAAGAATGTTAATGAGATGGTGTCATTCACGGTGTGATCATTTGTGCAGCTCATATTTGCGGATCGTAAAATCACCGTTCACGGATACGATTATGGATATGTGAATTCAGGTGGTATTTCAACCGATCAATGATTTACTATGAAAAGCAACCGCGTGTGGCCATCGCGAAATCAATTTGAATACTCGTTCCGTTACGGCACGTGGTGTCGAACGCAGCTATTTCCATAACTGAGATACTATCTCCTTTCTGAATATCTAAAGAAAAAAAAAAAAATAATTTCAGTAACAGTAAATGAAGGTCGAATCCCTGATTTCTATCGCTATCGATTTCGCTCTAATTTATATCGCTGCAACGTGATGTGTGGTACACACGAATCGGAATCGACGCGAGAAACGGAGCCACCACCGTCGTCGGCGCGATTAATCGTCAATCCCGTAATTCGCGACTCGGGACATCTGCACGTCTGGGAAATCATCGTCCGTCCCATCGTCGTTCCATTCGGCCGTGGACGAATGCGTGTTACGGAAAGAACAGGGGCATCGCTGTGCGCGCGATCGGATCGCACATCCGCGAATCGCTCGACGGTGAAGAAGATCGGGAATTTCTTCTTTCTCGTTATCTCCCATCTTAACGCGGCGCGATCTCGCGCGGCGGCGGATACACGTCTCTCTTGCGAGACGAAACGGAGAAACCCCCCCCTTCCCCGTCGTCCCGTCCCGCCGTCTGCCGCCTCGTTAACCGATGGGAACAGATTTCTGATTGCGTCCCCTTTCCCGTTGCCGAACGCCACCGCCTGCCTGCCTGCCTGCCTGCGATGCACACGGTGCAACCGAGCACCTCCGGGCGGATTTCGCAAAGGGATCATTTCCACGCCGAGCCGGGGCCGCGGCGTGTTACCGAAATATAGCGGCAATACCGTTAAAGCATTCTCCTTTGTTTGGATCACTATCACTCTCTCTCTCTCTCTCTCTCTCTCTCTCTCTCTCTCTCTCTCTCTCTCTCTCTCTCGATAGCGTCAGGGGGGGGGGCCTCGCTTCTCGCGATGAATCCAATCTGGCGAGATACGCGAGCGGAGCCTGCGCGCGGATCACGACGTCGGGCGTTACGGTCAACTTTCGGATTTCGCAAAATCCGTGCGGCCCGCTTTCGAGTCGATTTCCGTCCCGAGAGAAGCTCCGTTCGCGAGCGCGATTACGTTTCGCGATCGGGCAAACGTAATTATCTGGGAAACGCACGGAGGAGAGATGCGCCGCGGCCTCCGATTGTACTCTCGCGGTAGCTGCCACTTGTTGCGTTATTACGTAAACTAAATCGACGAGCATAAGCGGATTTACTTACAGCAGGCAAATCAAACAGAGTTGCCTGCCTCGGGCAACGTCGTTTTACTACTTGAAAGCCTCCTAATTGTTTTGTCAATTTGTAACCGCTTATCTTCTAACAAAGTTTGTATCTATGGAACGGATGATTGCTAAATAATCGAAGTCGTAAATCAGCTACTGAATTGACACGCACAATTATTCGATAATAATCATAATTTTACAAACTGAAGGTTTTGTCTTCTTTATCACCAGCTAGCCTGTGTAGTGAATTTGATTAATCGATCGATATTTTTGATGGATATTTTCTTTAAAATTTCTTGATCGCTCGAATAAACGTTTCTTTAGAGAGATATTTAATAAATCGATACTTTATTTCAACAAGATGGCGATTTGGCTGCCAGAACAGGGCCTTCCCCGATGCGGCCAAATTTTTCTGGATCGTACCGCGAGTTTCCCCGAGAGATTTGCCGTTTCGCAAGAAATTTTCGACGAAATATTCGCTCGGTCGGCTCTATCCAAGCTCGGCCGTGGCGAAGTTTCGCAAAACGGTCGTTTCGCATGCGAAACCGACCTACCGTGCTGCCGGATTGCAAAAGCTCTCTTCTCCCTCCCGGACGGCAGGAGACGAACGTGCATAACCGCCCGCGGGAGATTCCTGTATTTGGAAATGTTAAATCATCGTCGCGAGAATATTTCTTCGAGGAAGAAACGTCTCACGGATAATTATGTATTATGTACACATTTAATTGCTCGCACAAAACAAATAAAATGATACATTCAGGCACGTTCTGTACACTCAAGATTTCCTTCACTGGGACATCTTAACACCAGGCAGCATCATGCCTGATGTTAAGGATACTTTTAACCATGTTTATTTCTTTAATTAATATTTCTTAATTTCTTTTCTGATATCAAAGATAGATGTTAACATTTTCTAATTTTAATATCATATCAAAATAAAAAAAGTACTTGATGAAAATTTAGAACAGTCGAAAATTATACTTCAAATAAGTGAAAAAAGATATTGATTTAAAAAAAATAGAAATGACTGCTCTGTATTTCTAATGTTTTATACATAATTTTTATACAATTTTATACAAAATAATTATTATTTACTTTTATTAAAATAATTATTATTTACTTTTATCAAATAAATATGCCTTTCGTTTTATTTATTTAAATATTTCTTCAAACTTTTCTTTGATCTAAAAGATCGTAACAGTGAATATGAGAAATCTGTTAATAAAAATTAATTAATTGATATTCGAATAATGCCTTTTTATATACAAAAATTTATTTCGTTTTTTTTTTAATTTATAAACTATACAATTTTGTAAGAAAAAAGATATCCACTGAAGAAATTGCTTTTTAAATTTAGAAGAAACGTGCAGATTACGTGTAAACTATAAAATATATTCGTATTGGCTAATACTGGTTTCGTTAAAATCGAAAGTAATTAAGTAACATGCCATTTAAATTGATATTCATTAATTCGGTGCTAATATTTTGATCTCGCACGGTCATTTATCCTTCGAATTCAGTCCCGAGTAAACCGAGTGACTGTTGCAGCCTGTTAGAGTGAGAGTAACTTCGAGAGAGACACGCGCGTGACAGCGTGTTTGGAAGAAAACAATGACCGACGATGCGCTCGTGCGTTTCGATGTGCAACATTGGTCGTCCATGCGGGACATTCTAGTCAGGCAAGGATCAACAAATCGGTGACGACGAGGAGCCGAGGACTCCTGGAGAACAAGCGCTATCCCGGGGGCGCACCCCGGGGGATCGGCGGGCGGCCGGTTGACTTGATTTCCGCGTGTGTGCCAGTTATTCAACGGCACGGACATTACGTAAACTGACATTTTCGCAGCTAATACGAGCGAGCGAGCATGCGATTGCAGTCCGAGACAGTCCAGCGAGCCTCTATCGCCGACAGCGCTTTTCCCGCGGCGCGGACCTTCTCGAGAGAAAGAAAAAAAAAAAAGAAAAAGATTCGATAAATCGTCCTGTCGCGCGGGTGCGCGCAATCGATTTTCCATCCGATGGATTCGCAATATTCGTTACGATTCGTCAGGCGCGTAAACCGATCGACTAATGTCTATTTCTACCTTGCATGCATTAATTTTAATCTCGGTCTTTTATCCTTTTTTAGGAATTAGAAAAAGATAAGGAGTAAATTAAAGCTGAGATTAAAGCAAATTGACGTTGGTAGAGACAAACTTGAAGCGTTCCGTTAACGCTGACACGGTTTCGAAGAATAGAACTCCCGCTTCGAAGGATGCCGACAGGTGATTTCAACGCGCGCGATGAGTCGATGCCAGGAATAATTCTGTTTATTTCACAAGTTGGAGCGTTGGCGGGTGCGCTCATTGTTTTCTCCTGAATATCGAAGACCGTGGTAAAAGGGAGGCAAGGTGCGACGACACTTGTTACGCTTTGAATATCGCAAAATATTACGACGCTCATCTTCGGCTGTGTGACTAAAATTAATTAGCACTGTTGTCACCTTTAACGCGCTTGGCGGAACGCGGAGGCGCGCGTCGCGATTCAAATAACGATGCAAATACACTCACCCACTCTCGACACGACCGCCAGAATCAATAGCACGCTGCTCACGATTATCATCTTCTCTCGTGGTAGTTGGTCGCTGGTGGTAGAAATCACGGATCGGATCGGTGGTATCGGCCGACGGACAGGGATGAATCGTGGCTGGTCGTCCTCCTCTTCCCTCTTCCGCACGCGACTCTCACACACCCCGAGCGTACCGAGGGAGGCGAAACCGGCGCGTGGATTCGAATGAAACTCGCTCGGGCCCACGAATCCGTCGAATTCGGGGTACCCGCGGACAGACTCGCTACTTGATCGTCACCGAATCTCCGGAGTTTTTTTTTAACTTTTTTTTCTTTTTTTCTCTCTCCCTCTTTCCCTGTTCTCCGACGCGCCAACGAGCGAGTCTACGAGAGAGCCGCAGCAGCAATGCAGCGCCGTTACTTCAGAGCCGCGAGTGCGCCATGGACGTCGCAGAAACGCACGCTACGGTCACAAGGAGAGAAAGGTGACTGCGAGTATATACGCGAGGCGTGCACGATACCGCCTGTCTTCATGGCATAGTCACCTTTCTAGCAGAACGGACAGCAAAGAAGGGGAGCCTTGGTGCTATACCCACCACCGCGCACATTGCCCACCAATGCAGCGTAGACGTTCATGGATCATCAGGGGTGTAGGGGGGACCAGGTGGTGGACGTCGGCCACCTTTGACAGCTCGCTCGAAATCCATCTCGAGCTTTTCACATTATTAATCCTGAAATCCCGGTCAATCTTCTATGGCCAAGATGGAATGCGGGGGATGTGCGATGGTAAGGGATGTTTGATCCTCTGAAATGATAAGGTCAGATTTTTGAACGAATCTAGTTGGACCAAGTTTTTCAGAGGACCGCCGGAACTGTTCGGAATGAATTCGGATCCAAGTAATAAAATTTATTTCCTAGATTTCTCTTGTATTTGCTTAAAAAAAAATGGAATAATTCCAACTAGAAGTTATTTCGAACAGTTCTTTATGTTCCTAGAAAATAAAATTCTTCGCTCGATTGTAATAAATTATAATAAAAATTTTATAGTTAATTATGAAGTTATAATAATAATTATCATTCAATATAATCATTCATTGTAAAGTGAATATAAAAATTATTGTAATATTAATTTGAATATTTTCTTGGAAAACAACTAAAGATTTATAATCTAGTGATAAGATTCACAATGTCACAGGATTTAAATGATCGATAAAAATAATTATTGTTAATTCTAAACAGCATTTTATATAAAACAGTTTATTTTTTCCCCATATAAAATGACTAATACTATATTTTATTACCTTATATTATTTTTCCGCAATACGATTATATGGAAAATGTTTAACAGATTGGAACCATCACTTCATATAGGATAGAATCAAAATATCTACGGCCACTTCGTAGAATTTCTTTCTTTGTATGAAGATTATGTTTGCCAATGACCGATAACGATTGGAACATATTTGATTAGGATTGTTCGCCGAGCAATCAAAAGATAGATTATTCTATCAGTTTCTATATACTAATTTACAAACATTTATCAATTGATGCAATTTAAGGATGACAAAATAAAACATATGATCGATTGCTAAAATCGATGAGTATACAAAATTACGAGTAACGATAAAACTTCAATCAACTCGCAGTCGTTTTTGATTCTAACGCATACGTACATATTTCCTCAAATCGCAGGAATATATTATGCATAAAAATTATAAAATTGCTTTCTCGAATGATTACGGAGCGTATGGTAATAGAAAAGAAAAGATATCACATATACAAATAGCTTCCATCTTCGAGATGCATACAGATGCCACATTATTGTGTAATCCTTCTAATCGAGGGATTACATGTTATTTCTCTCATTGTGTAACAACGTATATCGATATAAACGACTAGATATTATTGCGACGCCTTGTCAAAGAATTTTCCTTTCCTGTTCAGTTTTCCAAGCATGATCCTGAGAACGAGGCAGTATTCGAATAGAAATGCTGTGTGAGCGGTAGGATTTGTTAAACCACTCGTCGAACTAATAGGATCAGTAAAACGTGATTACAAGTAAAAAATATAACATATGATAATATGCACATTTGAATAATTTTACTCAAATGTGACACAATATCTCTTCGGATACAAAATTTACAATCAAGTTTATATATTATAGATATTATAGAGGAGTTAGTAAGGTGACATTAAAAAAAAATTCAATACAATATCAAAATTATTGGATAACAAGAAAAATTGATATATCAATGGTCTCGTTAAACCCTAACATCTTTACAATCTTTTTAGATACATATATAAACAGATCTTGCCTTCACCTCACCTCGATACAAACACACATCGACTTTCACGTCATCACTATCAAAACCACTTGACGAAGTCTGCCCTGACGAAGACTTTATGAATTTCTTACGTATCCCAAATCTAAGAAGAATTACATGAAATACATTTATTCGAATAGAAAAACATTTGTTTGTTGTCAAATCTCTATGATTAAAAATATCGTTATACATATAAACGCGATATTTTTTTGTCTTCCTTTTCTTTAGCTGCAAGATAATCAATATGAAAACACACCTGTCTGCAAAATTTGATTTTTCTTTTTCTTTTCTTTTTTTTTTATCAAACCGCTCAAACGATTTCAATTATTTACGATTTCCAGTATATGAAAAATTCAAGTATTTCTTAAACAACTCTTTTTTTTTATAATTACGAAACGATTTGTATATACAGTAATTAAATATCATCCCACAGTTGATGATAGCTGCGCGAGAGATATCGTCAAATAGAAATGGCGTCGATACTATAATTTGTACAAAATTACTCGCAAATAAATCGCAGGGATATCACCATGCGTCCTTGCTGAATAGCGGACTTTGATTTGCTGCCCGGACAACATCGATAGCCTAATATGGCATAGCACGCAAACGCGCAAATATTTCCCGTACATCTATACCACTTATAACAGTAAATCTGTTCTTTTTAGCACTTCCTGCACTTGTGTTTTTTCTTCTCCTTTCTTTCTTCCTCGAAAACTCTGTACATTTATATTTGGCCCTGTTTTCATTTCAAGTGCAGAAAAGATAAGCGTGCTAAAAAAATAGATCTAGTGTCGTACGCGGAAATTACGCGTCATCAAGCGCGCTTGAAAAATTAAATAGTCACGCGTAATCGAGCAGTGTACAATTCTAGTTACTAACTAGTTCAATTTGTCTATATTTCTTGCGCAAATTGCTCACAGAATCTTTGAACAGAACAGGATCCAGTCGCATATTAGATCGCAACAGTGGCATGTATCCAAAGACAGCGACAAATGTATTCATGCACGTTTGCCGTTGTATAAAGTGATCCGGATCGTTCCACGGCGATCTAAAATTCAATGAAACATATGTATCAGTTATACGATAACGATATTTGTACATGTAGTCCAGAGAGCACATGACGAGCGATAGCTACCTAATCCCAGCCACTGTGGTATCTTTGTATAGTTTGCGCTGCGTCACTTTGATGGGCGGTCTTCGAGTTACGTGACTCACCAGAAAATTCATGAGTATATCCTCGCAATTCTGCGATTGCTCCACGGTTTTGTGAAGGGTCGAGCTCAATAACTCTGTATATAGAGTATTATAATAACGGTGATAAAAAGCAGCACCGGTGAGAATGATACTATAGTCATTTGTCCATTTACTGGTATAACCCCAGGAACGCTACGTACACAAAAGCCATATTAACTCGGTTACAAAACAGCTGCAGATTGGACGGAAGTCGTTTAATGCAGGCTACGTAACACTTACCTTTGAGTCATCCCAATAGTGAGATCTCGCAGGATATCCTACAATTCGATCGGGAAACGATCGCCAAACCGTGAAAGCGAAGTCAATCTCGTCGGTATTTAGAGTAGCATCCTCGTCGAGTGACAATATGGCACTAGTTTTGATTAATGGATGAGGATAAAAACGTTGTGATATACCGTCAACCGCGACAACATGAATTGACGCTCTGATGCCTTGCCAACGTGGTTTCCTTGGCACAGGAATGTCCGAATTCCACATTAGTATTATCTTGAATAAATATATTAAAAATAATATATTATAATACGTTGTGACAAGAAAAATGTATAGCAAAGAAAAAAATGTATAAAATGAGCAATAGGTAAAAGTTACCTTATCTAGGTATTTGCTTTTCGCAAGACTCCTAAGTAGACGATATAGAACCGCGGTGGATCCCAATTGTGAATAAATTATGGCAGTGAAAGTATTACCAGGATTGCTGTTTGAAAAAGGAAGTTCCTGCTGGCTATCGGCAAATTGTGGCAGAATCGCCAATGCTCCGGGGCTTGTATTCCAAACAATTCTTTCCCGCGCACCTTCCCATGGCAAACGCTCGCGAATATTCTAAATTAATAATTGCAATTAATAGCAAATCGAAGACAAAGTTCCAAATTGCAAAATAAGAATGAACAATTACCTCGAATACAGTAAATACAATTTTTTCAATAGAGGAAAAATATCTTTCCCATAAAAATTGTGTTTGTTGTCGTAGTTTAAGAATTTGTACATTGGATACGGACCGTAATATATCTGGAATCTATGAAATTCGTAAAATTTTGACACCAATTTTTCAAACAAAATTAGAATTCAAAATATATTCATGTGTATTTGTGCATCTCAACTTACTTGGAGTAACAGTCTCTCGTCGGAAAATATTACAGCCTGAGTCCAATCGATGCGTTCATGAAAGGGAAGAGCCCAACCATTACTTAAAATGACTGGAATACATCCTGATCTTAGAGCTTCGAGAAATCGAAAGCTACCTAATCGTCGTCCTCGTGGAACCAGACAAAACGTAGCGTTCATTAATAAAATTTCATAGTCATACCTATAAAATAAGAAATATGATTATACTATGATCTTGAACATCATAGGCAATTCCAGAGCATTTCAGTTACTTACGTATCATATTCCTGATTATCCTGCTGACAGTGTTCATCCTGCAATTCCCTCCAAGCCTTCCCATGACGACATGTTGTAACAAATACCAAATCCTTGCCATTGTGCAGGTGATAGAGAGCATTTCTTGTCTCAGATCCAATGCCATGCACATATCGTTTTCCCTTAAAAGCTGCCACATATTTCTTATTATTGGGAAAATTATTTTCTAACGCTTGGCCGAGTTCTCCGCCACGTTCCGGGTGTTGTTTGCCAAACAAAGGTATCGACACATCAAAATCTGGCCTATGTTTAAAGATGGACATGCTGGCCTTGGCGAGCATGGCATAACCCACATCAAAAGCTAGCGACCTTTCCGCATAATCGGGCCATGTGCCGGAATACAAGTTAAATATCAGATGATTCCTTCCATTATTCCAATATGGCAGGTGTAACAGTTTCGAGGGAAGATTGTGTACAAACTCAGTGGATAAGGGATCTCTATCTAATGTATCCAGGGCTAAGACAAATATACATGCCCGTGTCGGGTCTGACGTGTAATATCTCGACTCCGTGATAACGTTTAATATTTTTTGGTATAGGGGACTTATTACATCCTCAACTGGGTAGACGTACACGGTGAAACCTTGTTTACATCTCGTAAAATCGAAGCAGGTTTCCATGCGGCAATGCCGTGTACGCTGCGACATAGCCAAAGCTCCATTGGATGTCTTTAAATCTTTGTCATAGAATTCTTCATTTAGACTTAAATATGAAGGCAATCGCTCGTAAGGCAACTGAGATCTGCCTGTCCACTTTTCACTTTTTAAACGATATCCACCAAAGTAGCAGTAACCAAGAAACGCGCATGTTACAAACAATAATAGATAGCGTTTCTTGGCTTGCATTTTCGATACAGTCAGGTTATACAAAGATATATGATAGTCCTAAGCATTATTTTCTCCGATGTAAAGGGTCTGTAGTCAGTCACAAGCACATCGTAAGGATTACTATGTATAGTTATGGTTCAGAAGTTTCTCCAAAACATAGTCACTCCTATTCTATCATATTGCTGTAAAAAGACAAGGATTTTATATGTCAATTGTCATATACAATCTTTTATAGACATACTAACGACAAAAATATAGCTATAAATACAACAATTTACACTAGTCAATTTAACTAAATTAATTTAAATCATATGACAAATGCTGAGTTTTACTATCATGACAATCATTTCGCGCACACGCATATTTATGATGTCTGATCATACGTCAGAACCCTAATTTTCAGTTTTAAAATCGAGTGAAGGTTGTTACCTGTTTAAAATTAAAACGGAGAATAGTCATTGACAAGGACACGACCCTCGCGAAACACATGATGTGTGTATGGACCGGCGGGACGATATGTAAAAATCTGTCGACGGAACTTCACCGTCGGCCGTTTGCGCGCAGCAACAGCAGCGATAGCAGCGTTGAACTCGTACGCGAGTTTAAATCTTCCGATTTAAATGACAGCGACGCACGCACGATGCGGGACGATGATGGGTCGTGCGAGTCACACGTCTCGGCGAGATCCTCTTCCCAGGCCGATCTCGGGATAACCTATAAGTCGCGCGAGCCGAAACCCGCGCGATCGTTGATCGCACCGCACTCCACGTCACTATTAAATGGCACGCGTATCCGCCGCCTGATATCTCATATCTCGAATGTCGCGATATCGCGATGTCGCCCTGTCGTCCTACGACACCGTCGACGCGCGACATCGACGCGACGACATTATCATCGTCATCATCATCATCATCATCATCATCATCCTTCTAGGTTAGCTGCGATGCACTGCGATATCGTCGGGCCTGGCGGCGATTTCACGCCCACTCGCATCTCGGACCGATACCGGACGAACACGCGTGGCATCGATCGACAAACGGCCGCGAGTGCAAAATCATTGCACGCCGCGGCGCATCGAATAATATCGCTTTAGAAGAAAAAAAAAATGAGGCAAACGCGGAACAGTGCCCCGTGACGTTGATCAGACTGGCAAACCGCCTCCCGTTCTGCGCCTCACTTCACGCTCGCGAGCGCGGCGGCAACTTGCAACACCGTGAACATCACGATGCAGCGCTCGTGGCGCGATGCATAAAATCGCTGAACTATTAAACCGCGCGCGTATGAATATATTACGTAATAAAATAAAATTTTCATGTATGTATAT